GGGCGGAGCCAAGGATATCCGAGGTGCTGTGGAGGCTGCTCACCAGGCTGCCTCTGGGTAAGAGTGTCACATGGGAAAGCCTGGGGTCATGGGGTGGCCAAGAGGGTAGTCTGGGACCCCCAGTGGTTGGTGGGCTGGGGACCTGGGCCCCTAGGGTAGGGCTGTGGACAGAATGTGGTATCTGGGAGGAACCAGGACCAGGACTCGGCCTGTGTGCGTTGTGTGCCCACAGCTGGGCGGGGCAGTCACCGGCGGCCCGGACGGCCCTGCTGTGGGCCCTGGCAGCCGCGCTGGAGCGCCGGGAGTCCGCCCTGGCCTCGAGGCTGGAGAGGCAGGGAGTGGAGCTCAAGGCTGCCAAGGCGGAGGTGGAGCTGAGCGTGAGACGACTTCGGGCCTGGGGGGCCCAGGCCCAGGCCCAAGGCCAAACCCTGCAGGTGAGAGGGGCCCGTGGGCAGGTGGACAGGGACAGAGCAGGCAGTCGGGGTCCAGGTCAGAGCAAAGGCTCTGAAATAAGCTTGGGCTGGCTCCTGGCTGCACGATCGTCAGCAAGTGGCTTCACTTCTCTGTGCCTCAGTTTCCTCATCTGCACAGTGGGCACATGGCCCACCTCAGAGAATCAATTTAGTGGGCCATAACCATATCTACTTACTTACTTGTTTGTTTTAGAAATGGGGATCTTGGGGGGGAAGGGCATTTATTGAAACCTTAAAATTTGTGCCCCCATAATATGCCGAAATAAAAAAAAGAAAAGAAATGGGGATCTTGCTATGTTGCCCAGGCTAGAGTACACTGGTGTGATCAGAGCTCACTGCAGCCTCGAACTCCTGGACTCAAGCGATCCTCTTGCCTCATCCTCCCAACTAGCTGGGACTATAGGCCTATACCACTGCATGCACCTGGCTTTCTTTTTCCCTGGGAGCCCATAGCAGAATACCTGGATTTTTTGTTTTTTTCAACAAAAGATAATAGGATAGAAAACATACCATGCTTCCCCAAAAATAAGACAGGGTCTTATATTTTTTTTTTCCTCAAGAAGACACCCTAGGGCTTATTTTCAGGGGATGTGTTATTTGTTTTAAGTACGGTACAACAGTCTACATTTATTCAAATATAGTTCAGTTGTGTTCTTCTGGAACATCATCATAACTCTCCAAACCCTGAATTCCATCCTGAATTTCTTGCGACTGTATTTCCTTTGGAACCATTGGCCCCAATCTCTCCTGTGGAGCAATAGAGTTCTCATGGGGCAGATGAGAAGGGCTGCTCATCTTCTTTACCGCTCCTCCACGAAATGAATGGGTTGTGCAAATGCGCTGCGGAGCCACGCCCATCACTAGGGCTTATTTTCGGGGTAGGGCTTACATTGCGCAAATGCTTAGAAATCCTGCGAGGGCTTATTTTATGGGTAGGTCTTATTTTCGGGGATACGGTAGAGTGCATGGCACAGAGTGTGACTTCGATAGACTTTGGTTTTGCTTATATACATAACATATGGTTAAATATACATACTGAGGACAGGTGAGGTGGCTCACGCCTGTAATCCTAGCACTCTGGGAGGCCGAGGCGGGTGGATTGCTTGAAGTCAGGAGTTCAAGACCAGCCTGAGCAAGAGCAAGACCCCATCTCTACTATAAATAGAAAGAAATTAATTGGCCAACTAATATATATAGAAAAAATTAGCCGGGCATGGTGGCACATGCCTGTAGTCCCAGCTACTAGGGAGGCTGAGGCAGCAGGATTGCTTCAGCCCAGGAGTTTGAGGTTGCTGTGAGCTAGGCTGACGCCATGGCACTCACTCTAGCCTGGGCAACAAAGTGAGACTCTGTCTTAAATAAAAGAAAAACCAAAAAACCACCATGAGGGTCAGGCACAGTGGCTCACACCTGTAATCCCAGCTACTTGGGAGGATCACTTGAATCAAGGAGTTAAAGACCACCTTGGACAACATAGTGAGACCTCTGACTCTAAGAAAGTAAAAATTAAAAATAAAATGCATATAGAAATGGAAATGACCCAGAATAACTAAGATGAGAAAGCTGGGAAAGCTAACTGCCAGATATCAAGACTTTCTATAAAGCTACATTAATCAAGAGAGTGAGTTATTGGTACAAGGTCAGTCCAATAAATCAGAACAGAAGAGAGAGTCTAGGCTGGGTGCAGTGGCTCACGCCTGAATCCTAGCACTCTGGGAGGCCGAAGTGGGAGGTTTGCTTGAGGTCAGGAGTTTGAGACCAGCCTGAGCAGGAGTGAGACCCCGTCTCTACTACAAATAGAAAAATTAGCCAGGTGTGGTGGTGTACACCTGTAGACCCAGGGACTCATGAGGCAGAGGCAGGAGGATCACTTGAGCCAAGGAGTTTGCTAGGCTGACACCACAGCACTCTAGTTTGGGTAACAAAGCAAGATTCTGTCTCAAAAAAAAAAAAAGAGAAACAGCCACAGTGAGATCACTAATGCACCTAAATGGCTAAAATTTAAAAGACCGATGATATGAAGTGTTGGTGAGGATGTGGAGGAACTGGAACTCTCACATGCCCTGTGGGAGTGTGAAATGACACAACCACTTTGAAAAGCAGTTTGGCAGTTTCTAGAAAACAGAAACATACTTTCACATGGAACCCGGCCATGATTCCTAGTTATTTGCCTAGATAAAATTAATTCCTAGGTTTTAACCCAAGAGAAATGAAAGCATGTAACCAAAAAAAGATTTATGCACAAATGTTCATAATAATAATGTTCACCATTATTCAAAATGGTCCCAAACTGGAAGCAACCCAAATATCCCACAGTAGGTTAAGAGATAAAACATGGTGGGTCCACAGGACAGAGTCCTACTAGGTAATCAAAGGGAGTGAACATGCCACCCATGGATAATCGCAAGATAATCACATGAATGAAAGAGGCCAGAGGAAAAGGAATGCAGATCATGTGACTGCAGCAGTAAAATTCTAGAAAATATAAACTAATCTATAGTGAGGGAAAGTAGCCCAGTGGGTTGCCTGAGGACAGAGGGTCTCAAATAGGGCAGGAGGGAAGGATTACCAAGGGACAGGAGGAATAGGGTGAAGTTCATTATCTCACTTGTGACGATAGTTTCACAGATGTGTACATATTGTCAAAATGTATCAAGTTGTACCCTTTAAAATGTGTGCAGGTTAGTGAATGGCAATTATATTCAGTAAAGCTTTTGTGGAAAACACACCTACCAACCAACCCGTGGGCCAGGTTTCGAGCCGTCTGCACACATTCACTCATTTCATCCTAACAACAAATCTGTGCAGTAGACACTGTTATTATTCTCATTTGAAAGATGAGAAACAGTAGCACAGAGAGGTTAATTAACTCCAGCAAGGTCACACAGCTGGTGAGTGGCTGAGCTGGGACTTGAACCCAGGTCCTCTGGCTCCCGAGTTCTGTGCTCTGAACCATCACCTGGTTATAGTATTATTGGAGCTGTCATGGGGAAGCGAAGATGGAGATGAGAGGAGGAAACAAGCAGGCCAATGGAGAAGGCCAGGGCAGTCAGTTTCCCCTGCCCTGTCCTTGACCCCCCGCCTGTCCCTGCAGGTAGCCGGACTGAGAGGCCCCGTGCTCCGCCTGCGGGAGCCACTGGGTGTGCTGGCTATCGTGTGCCCGGACGAGCGGCCCCTGCTTGCCTTCGTGTCCCTGCTGGCCCCTGCCCTGGCCCATGGCAACACTGTAGTCATGGTGCCCAGCGGGGCCTGTCCCCTGCTGGCCCTGGAGGTCTGCCAGGTACAGTCCCCTGCCTGCCTGCCACCTGTTGCTGCCCCTACAGCCCTTCGGCAGCAGATGAAAGATGCCCCAACACCTGCAGCAGCTTGGCTCTCACCCTACCCTCCTCCATAACCATGGTGACCGCAATCCCAGCATGCAAGCCTTCATCCTCAGGGATGCCCATTCCCTCCAGCCCAGAGCCTTCACCAGTCCATGACCCCAAGCCCATCCCTCCGCAGACACTGACTCCTCACGCTGTCCCCATGCCCTCCCAACCCTCTCCTCCCCTAGGACATGGCCACCCTGTTCCCGGCGGGGCTGGTGAACGTGGTGACAGGAGACCGGGACCACCTGACCCGCTGCCTGGCCTTGCACCAGGACGTCCAGGCCCTGTGGTATTTCGGATCTGCCCAGGTACCCCTTGTGTCACCATCTTTTAGCCTCTTAAACTTCACCAAGGGTCTCCTCCTTTTCTGGAAACATGGCCCTCCCCCTTTGGAGCCCCAGTTGCTAAGGAAGAGGATCTCCTTGGGCACAAGGGCCTGAGAGCCCGCCAGCCCAAAGACCTAATCTAGGTGGACAGCCCGTTGCTAAGGACCACACCCTAGCAACAGAGCCAGAGGCCCACGGTCTACTCTGGTAAACCTCCTCTTGGTAACAGATGGGAACTCCCTGGCCCCCGTTCCATTGAGCATGGGCTATTAAGGGACAGGAAATTCCCCAGCCACAGGGTCAGCCTCTTTTCCCTCAGCATCTGGAAGGCTTGCTTGCTGAGGGCTGAGCCTGAGTCCAGCCTTGGGCCGCTCCTCAGTGACAGTCCTCACTGCGCAGCCAACAGTCTGGTGGCAGTGCTAATCCGCCCCTCCCCATCCCAGGGCTCCCAGTTTGTGGAGTGGGCCTCCGCAGGGAACCTCAAGCCGGTGTGGGTGAGCAGGGGCCTCCCGCGGGCCTGGGAGCAGGAGGCCGAAGGCGCAGGCCCCGAGCTGGGGCTGCGGGCAGCACGCACCAAGGCCCTGTGGCTGCCCATGGGGGACTGATGGCTGCACACCGCCCGCTCCATCCTGGACCCCAACAGACACCAGTCACCTGGAACTTTCCCCTCATGGTCCCCATGGCTTCCAATAAACTCTGCCCAACCCTGACTGTGCCTCTGAGGGGAGAAAGGGACGGAAACTTCTGGTCTATTCTCGGCCTTTGTAGTTCGGAGATTCAGCAGCCCCATGGGTGGCTCCAGTGCGACACAGTCCTGTGAAACAGATGAAGGGGACTCTTTGGTTTCCCTGCTGTGCACAGCCTCAGAATCTGTGCTAATTTTTTCTATTTTTAGTATAGACAGTGTCTCACTGTTGCTGAGGCTGGTCTCAAACTCCCGAGTTCAAGCGATCCTCCCCACCTCGGCCTCCCAGAGTGCTAGGATGACAGGCGTGAGCCACCACGCCAGCCAGGATTCCTGAATTTTTAACCATTAGCTGCCATGAGCCAGTGTGAGCCACTCCAACACTCCAGGGCTTTAGAATCTTTTCTGATGCAGGAAACCCACTCATGCTATCTTAGGATAAAAGAAAATGTTCTGGAAGGCCACTGAGATGCCTTGCAGAAGACAGGGCAGGACACATATCTAGGTGTCCCAGGACTTGGCCAGGCAGGAACCAGGGCGGGTCCTTTTTCCATGGGCCGCATGATCTCTTGGGTCTTATATCTCTGCCTCTGCTTCGTTCAAATTGTTCTAGCCATGTGACCTTAGGAGAGCTTCTTAAGCCTCTCTGAACCTCAGTTGCCCCATCTGTAAAATGGGGCTCAAAGTTCCAACCTCATTGGGTTGAGTCAGTGATGGGCACCCAGCATGTGCTTAATGATTGTTGGGGATTAGAGGTTGGTTTTGTCCGGAGCTGGCTGCTGGTCAAAATCTCCTTCCCCTGTGTGGGAAGGGGCAGCCTCTTGTGAGTGCTTGGCCTAGGTCAGGTGAGTGAGTACATTACCTCCCCTGCACCTGGATGGTGGGGACACAGGAAGCAGCTAGAGGAGGTGGAGGGAAATCCCGGGGCAGCCCTAGCCTGGCTGGCCAGCTCTGTCCTGGATTATGTGGGCTGCCTTGGCATCCTTCCCATTAACCCTCCTGTTGCTCGGACACAGCCAGAGCCAGGTGTGGCAGGTCTATGTGCCACCAGCCCAGTCCCCAGGGGAGGACTGTAGGAAATCCTACTGGCCAGCCTGGGTCAGGTGCCCACTTCTGGTCTACTGTGGTCATCCCTGGCCAGGGGACAGGATCTCCTAAGCTAGTCATCCATCCAGTCAGTGAACTGAGTGCCCATCCTGAGTCAGACACTGTTGTAGGTGCTAGGGGACACAGCCAGGGACAAGACACGGCCTAGCCTCCTGGAGCTGGCGTTCTAGCGACTGAGAGGCATATACATTTCCTATCAGTGCTGTAACAAATTGCTACAAATTTAGCAGCTCAGATTTGATTATCTTACAGCTCCGGAGATCAGAAGTCTGAAATGGGTTTCATTAAGCTGAAGCCCAGGTGTTGGCAGGGCTGTTCCTCCTTCTGGAAGCTCTAGGGCAGAATCCATCTCTTGCCTGTACTGGCGTCTACAGGCCACAGGCACTCCTTGGCCAGGGCCATGTCCCCCGTCTCCACAGCCAGCAATGGCCGGTTGAGTCTCTCAACGCGGCTTCCCTCTGACTCTTCTGTTGACACGTCTCTTTCTGTGACTCTAGTTCTCCCGCCTCCCTCTTTCACTTAGCAGGACCCTTGTGTGACATCGGGCCATACCCCGGAAGTCCAGGATGATGGCCCCATCTCAAGGTCTTTAGCTTAATCACACCTGCAAAGTCCCTTTTGCCATGTAAGGTCACATATTGACAGGTTCTGGGGATTAGGATGTGGACATCTTTGGGGGCCATGGCAGTCAGAAAACAAGTGAAAAACCCAGAAAAGTGTGACCATTCAGGAAGCTAAACCTGGCTGGACAGGAAGTGAGGCGAAGTGGGCAGGGAGGACAACTCGGGACAGGCTAGGCCTTGCTGCGGTGACGCACAAAGCTGGTCTCCTGCTCACACTACCCATTCACCCAGGGTTGGCAGGGTCCTAAGCTCCTCAGAGTCACACCGGGCACTCGGCTGAGGGTGGCCTCTCTTGATGCATCTGCCACCAATGCAGAGCCACTCTCCAGCCCTGTAGGCTTCCAGCCAGAAGTGTCACCTGTCATTCTCGCCCTCATGCCATTGGCCAAATCAAGCCATGTGGCCATGCCTGAGTTCCACAGGATGGGTGTAGAATCCTCCAGCAGATATTTGGGGACAGTATACCATGGATGGACAATGAGCAAGACATTCCAAGGACCCAAGCTGTGGAATGGACCTTATGTTTTCTCATTTACTACCTCACCCCTCGGTTTGGAATTGAAGAAACTGAGGCTTAGAGAGGTCAAGGGGCGGACTAAGCTCCCACAGTGGCAAAGCCAGAGCCAGAATGCCACTCGCCAGGCCTGATGTGACAAGACATCCCCGAGTCCTGTGTGCCAGGCTTTGGGAGGCAAAGCTGGAGCGCCCGAGGATGGTCAGGCCCAGCCACGCAACAGGCTCCCCGCTGCCACAGCTCCCGGAGCCAGATCCCGCTTTGAGCCCCGCTCTCCGTGCCTGCGCCCTGCGTGGTCAGGGGGACAGTCCCCAGCTCGGCCCTCAGGCACAGAGAGAGCTCTGCGAAGGCGCCATTGGCGGCGTGGGCGGCCACCTGTCGCCACCAGGGGGCGATCTCTGCCCCGGCCCAAATTCCACCCCTGCTCATTCTCTCCCCCAAAAAACTTCCTTTCACTTTCAGTCTCTGCTGTCACCCGGCTTGGCCCCTTCCACACCCAGCTGGGGCAAGCCTGGTGTGTGAGGAGCACTGGACTCCAGGTCCCCGAGGGGCGGAGCCGGGGTCTCCAGTCCTATGGCAGAGGCTGCAGGCGATGGGGGGTCGGGCTCCCGAGTCCCTGACCTGGGGAGGGTTCTGGGGACCGGACGTCGGGGTTCTTGAAAGGGGAGATGAGGAGATTTCACCGTAACTGGGGCTCGTGCAGGAAGCCTGGGGGAGTCAGAGGCGGAAACTCGGCCACATCAAGGGCACGGCAGAGGGGCGGGGAGCAGAAGGGGCGGGCGAGGAGGAAAGGGCTGGGGTGTAGGGGTCCGAGACTTCTTCTGTCCCTTCCAAGACCCGGCCACAAGCATGAGGGGCCGCGGGCCGAGATGACAGTGCTGTCACCAGCCTGGAGCCCAGCTGTGCGTATACCTGAGGGACAAAGTGGGGGGAACAGGGAAGCGCAGTGCCAAGATGGGGGGCAGAGATGGACAGAGGAGGGGGCTGTGGGCAGAGGGGGGAGATGAGCAGAGAGGGGGAAGATGGACAGAGGAGGGGGGAGATGAGCAGGGGAGGGGGAGGTGGACAGAGTAGGGGGAGGTGGATAGAGGAGAGTGGAGGGGAACAGAGGAGGGGGCAGATGAGCAGAGGAGGGGACAGATGAGCAGAGGAGGGGGGAGGCGGGCAGAGGAGGGGGAGATGAGCAGAGGAGGGGGGAGGAGGGCAGAGGTGGGGGAAGATGGACAGAGGAGGGGATTTGGCGGTGCGGGTACAAGTGGAGAGGACAGGACAGGACGGAAATGGGAGATGGAGGGAAACAGCCCAGTGAATACAGAGGACCAAAGGGGAAGATGGGGAGAGGGCTGGCAGAGCAGGATGAAAAGTGACAGCGCTGGAGCAGAGGCTGAGAGGAATGAGGAGGTGGGCAGAGGTGGGGACAGCTCTGGAGACCCGGGAGGAAGAGGGAGGAGGGAGCGGAGGAGGCAGGAGGCCTGGGGGGGCGTGAGAGCCAAGAGAGCCCACCCTGCCCTGCAGACGCCCCTGCTGCTGCTGCTGCTGCTCAGCGCCAGCCTCCGAGGGACCCAGCACTGCTCCTTCCAACACAGCCCCATCTCCTCCACCTTCGCCCGCAACATCGGCGAGCTGGTGAGCGCCCCAGCCTCAGCCCCATCCTGCGGTCCCTCTTTGAGACCGAGTTGGGTGGCCGGGTCAGAGTTCCCCCTCTCTGGTCCTTGGCCCTCTCTCTCTGGCTCTCTGCCAGCGTCTGAGTCTCCTTAGTGTTCCCCCCTGTTTTCTCCCGTAGTCTGACCACCTGCTTCTGGATTACCCCGTCACTGTGGCCTCCAACCTGCAGGAAGTGAGTCACCTGGGAGGGGTGGGGATGGAGGTGGGAACCACAGACTCAGGACCCCGCCTCGGGACCAGGCTAGTTGGCCAACCTGGCCCCTTCCTGCCCCGCGTGGGTCGTCTCCCCAGGAGGAGCTGTGCGGGGCACTGTGGCGCCTGGTGCTGGCGCAGCGCTGGATGGAACAGCTCAAGACCGTGGCTGGGTCCCAGATGCAAAAACTGCTGGAGGCTGTCAACACCGAGATAGTCTTTGTCACCACCTGTGCCTTTCAGGTCAGCCCTGAACTTGGGGGACAAGTGAGGGGAGGAAGATGCTTTCCTAGGCATTGGAAGGAAAGCTCTGCTCAGCCTTGCTGGAGATTTCTTTCGAACTTAGCAGCACAAGGAAGGTAGAGCTGGCACCCTGACACCCTGGGGGTCCTGTCGCTGGAGAACAACTCTCGAGGCGCTAGGGGATGGTGGAGGGTCTGGGCCCAGTTCTGGGGCCAGATCTCTAGGCCCTGCTGAAGGGTGCTGCTGGCGTTCTCCCTCCCAGCAACCAGGGGCAGTGGGTGCTAAACTCTGGCTGAGACCCAGGCCTCATGGGGCCCAGTTGCTAGGCGTTGCCAGCAGGGAAGGGCCCTGCGGAGATGGGGGGGTTGATGTGGTGGTAACGTCTCCCTCCCCTGCCCCCAGCCCCTCCCCAGCTGTCTTCGCTTCGTCCAGACCAACATCTCCTGCCTCCTGCAGGACACCTCCCAGCAGCTGGTGGCTCTGAAGCCCTGGATCACCCGCCGGAATTTCTCTCCGTGCCTGGAGCTGCGGTGTCAGCCCGGTAAAGGGTCCCAGTGCCCCCCCGCCCCTCTCCCATCATCCTCACAGCCCCTCATCCTCTCTGCTCAGTGTGTCCCAGAGCCCACCCTGACCCCATTATCTGTGACAAGGGCAAGTGCATTCATTCCCCTTTCTGGACTCAGTTTACCCATCTTTTAGAAGGGAACAATAATTCCTGCCTGTTTCTCTAAGACAGCCCTGTCCAACAGAAATACAATGTGAGCCACATGTTTAAGTGTAAATTTCCTAGTACCAAAGCTTAAAAATGTGGAAAAAAAAAAAGTGGCCGGGCCTGGTGGCTCATGCCTGTAATCCTAGCACTGTGGGAGGCCAAGGCGGGAGGATCGCTCAAGGTCAGGAGTTTGAGACCAGCTTGAGCAAAAGTGAGACCCCATCTCTACTAAAAATTGAAAGAAATTAATTGGCCAACTAAAAATATATAGAAAAAATTAGCTGGACATGGAGGCGCATGCCTCTAGTCCCAGCTACTCAGGAGGCTGAAGCAGGAGGATCCCTTGAGCCCAGGAGTTTGAGGTAGCTTTGAGCTAGGCTCACGCCACGACACTCTAGCCTGAGCAACAGAGTGACACTCTCTCTTACAAAAAAAAAAAAAAAAAGCCAAAATAAGTAGATTCATATTTTCCCCAGGATTTAAAAAAAATTTTCTATTATTATTTCAGTCAGGGTCTCACTCTGTCGCCCAGGCTGGAGTACAGTGGCACCATTATAGCTCACTGCAACTGCAGACTCCTAGGCTCAAGCGATCCTCCTGCGCCAGTCTCCTGAGTAGTTGGGACAACAGGCAGAAGCCATCATGCCCAGCTAATATATTTTATTTTTTGTAGACCCTGGGTCTTGCTACGTTGCACAGGCTGGTCTAGAACTCCTGGCCTCAAGAGATCCTCCTGCCTTAGCCTCCCAAAGTGCTGGGATTATAGATAGGCGTGAGCCACCATGCCCAGCCTGGCCAGGATTTCTAATGTTTGTTATTTTTTAACAAGTTAATTTTTTTAAACTTTTTTCTTTGGGAATAATTATAAATTCACAGGAAAGTGCAAAAAAATGAACAGGGCGAGGGTGGAGTCCCTGGCAACCCTCACCCAGCCTCCCTCCCCAGTGTAACATTTTGCTTGTTAACATTAACTATACTACAAAATCGAAACCAGGAAATTGGCCTTATCCCAATCCACAGAGCTTATTCAGATTTTACCAATTACTTACGCATGTATGGGTGCTCGTTTGTTCTGTTTTTCTGTGCATTTCCAAAAGCTCCTATCAATTATATTTAGCCTCATTGGTCATTTGTGTTTAGGTCTATGACCATTTATTCAACCATTTATTAACCATCTCCTATGTGCCTGGCACTGGGGACACAGGATGGAGCAAGACCAAGATCCCTGCCGCTCGGAGCTGACGTGCTAACTGGGGAGACAGAGGATAAATTCTTAATCACATAAATAATCCAGAAAGTAAGGTCAGGAGTTTGAGGCTAGGGTGAGCTATGATCATGCTGCTTCATTCCACCCTGGGAAACAGCAAGATCCTATTTCTAGAAATAAAACAAAAAGAAAGTATCTGCGTATAATGAGCCCTGTGCACTCAAATGAAAACAGGATGATGGAATCGTGATCTGAAGTGGTTGGCTGGAAAGTTAATGAAAGCTGGGAAAAAAGGGATAGCCAGTGCAAAGGCCCTGAGGCAGAAACCTGCTGTGTGTTTAAGGGGCATTGAGGGGAGTCTCTCTGAACCTATTTCATTCATTCATTCATTCATTCATTCAAATACTTAATGAGCACTAAGTAGTAGGTTCTGGTGATAAATAAATCAGATAAGATCCCTGCTGCTCACATGGGACCCACAGACTATTGGGTTAAGAAGACAAATAGATATGGAATCACTAGAAACATACTTGCTTCATTATAAAATAAAGTACAACTCTGCTATGCGCCAACATTGTTCTAAGCACTTTCCATATGTTCCTCATTTAATTTTTGTGGCAACCCGATGAGGTCAGTATAATGAATATGTCAATTTTACAGATGAGGAAACTGAGGCACGGGGCGGGCAGCAGCCTGCTGAGGTCCCACAGCCAGTGCCAGACAGCCTTTCTTTCCTTCTGCAACCCAGCTCTTCTCCTTGGTCACCCAGCCTCCTCTGTCTCCCCAGACCCCTCCACCCTGCCGCCCCCACAGAGCCCTGGCGCCTGGGGGGCCACAGCCCTGCCAGCGCCGCAGCCACCCCTGCAGCTGCTGCTGCTGCTGCCGCTAGTGGCTCTGGTGCTGCCAGCCGCCGTCTGCTGCCTGCGCTGGCGAAGGGCCAGGCGGAGGACGCCCTGCCCTGGGGAGCAGGTGAGCCAGCGGCATGGGAGGAGGGTGGAGCGGGACAGAGGGTAGCCGGAGGCCCTGCCTGCCGCCCTGTGACTGACCCTGGGGGCCCACAGGCACCCCCCACCTCCAGTCCCCAGGACGTGCTGCTTGTGGAGCCCTGACCTGCCTGCGGCGTCATCTCGGTGAGTCCCTCACAGGCCACGGGGCCTGGACTCTGGGGAGGGTTCTAGGAGCTAGGGGAAGGCTGGGAGCAGAGCCCGGGCAGCCCAGGTCCCCAGGCCCCCGAGAGCAGCTGCAGGAAGGGAGTGGAGAGTGGGGCGGAGGCTGGGAGGGCCTGGGGCGAGAGGACCATGGGGTCGGGTGGAGTGGATGGGGCAGGGGGCTGGGGCCCGACAGGCCCAGGGCCAGACTGGACAGTGGGGAACCTGGGATGGAGTGAGATTAGGGAAGGACACTGAGCTCAGTGGGGACCGGAGGGAGTGAGGGCCCTGAGGAGATATATGGATGCAGGAGCTTGCAAGCCAGGGTGGAGGGGTCTTGGGACAGGAATGGAACCGCATCCTAAGAAGAGGGAACTGCCTTGGTGAAGCCATCGGGTGTGAGAAAGCCCAGGGTGTTCCAGTCACTTGGGCCAGTGCAGGGCATCAGGGAGCCATGGGAGGCATGGGAGGGAGGAAAGAATCTGGGAAGAGGTGTGGGGTAGGAGGGAGAGAGGAAGGAGGGGAGGCCCCAAGGACAAGAAACATTTCACAGTAATTACTCCAACATATAGTGACTTGGTGGCACTGGCTTTGTGCTGTGGCTTTCCATAAATTAACTCACTCCATTGAGAAGCTCGTGCCATTATTATCCTTGTTTCACAGAGGCTGAAACAAGGCACAGAGAGGTAATATGCCAACATCACACAGCTCTTGAATGAAAACCAAGATTTGACTCTAGGCCAGGCGTCCTCAAACTATGGCCCACAGGCCACATGCGGGTGTTTTTGCCCATTTGTTTTTTACTTCAGAATAAGATATGTGCAGTGTGCATAGGAATTTGTTCATAGTTTTTTTAAAACTATAGTCTGGCCCTCCAACGGTCTGAGGGACAGTGAACTGGCCCCCTGTTTAAAAAGTTTGAGGACCCCTGCTCTAGGCTGTCATGTTCTAGCATCTGTGCCCTTCTCTCTTCTGCCTCAGTTTCCTTATATGTACAAAAGGCTTTAATAATGGCCTCCATAGGATTGTCATGAGGTTAATGAAGTGACCCATGAAAAGCCTTTAGAGCAATGCTGCCCAGTGGAAACAGAATGCAAGCCACACATGGGATTTTAAATTTCCTAATAGCCACATTTAAAAAAAAAAAAAAAAAGGATCAACTATGGTGGCTCACGCCCATAATCCCAGCACTTTGAGAGGCTGAGGCAGGAGGACTGCTTGAACCCAGGAGTTCAAGACCAGCCTGGGCAACATAATGAGATCCCATCTTTACAAAAAAATATAGATAAGTTAGTTGGGCATGGTAGTGAACCTGTAGTCTCAGCTACTTGGGAGGCTGAGGCAGGAGGATTGCTTGAGCCCAGGAATTTGACATTACAGTGAACTATGATTGCACACTGCACTTCAGCCTCATGCAGGTAACTTTATTTATTTATTTATTTATTTATTTGAAACAGAGTCTCACTCTGTTGCTCAGGCTAGAGTCCTGTGTCGTCAGCCTAGCTCACAGCAACCTCAAACACCTGGGCTTAAGTGATTCTCCACCTCAGCCTCCTGAGTAGCTGGGACTACAGGCATGCGCCACCATGTCTGGCTAATTTTCTCTATTTTTAATAGAGACAGGGTCTCACTCTTGCTCAGGCTGGTCGAGAACTCCTGAGCTCAAGCGATCCTCCCGCCTTGGCCTCCCAGAGTACTAGGATTACAGGCATGAGCCACCATGCCCAGCCATGATGAAGGTAACTTTATAAACAATATATTTTGTTTCACTCAGTATATCCACAATGTTGTCATTTAAACATGTAATCAATATTTTTAAATGATTAATGAGATATTTTACAATTTTTATACTAACTTTTCAAAATATAGTGTGTATTTTACACTGACAGCACATCACAATTCAAACAATAAATTTTTATCAGAAACACTGGATCTGTATATAAGTTTCATGAAATTTACAGTTGCAAAAGTATATTCAAGTACTCAAGTTGTTCGAAATATGCATAAATTTTCTAATAACTAGATTGAGGACCAGTTTCTAAATCTTATGATTTTTCATTTCAGGACTTGTTTCTGAGCAGTAATTTTTATTATAATTTTTTTTAAAGGTACTACATTGAATTTTCCTCCCACCCTAGTCCCTATCCAACCTTTTCCCTCAGTCTCTCAATAACCACATTATTAGTTTCTTAAATGTAAATTATAGGGCCAGGTGTGGTGGCTCCCGCCTGTAATCCTAGCACTCTAGGAGGCTGAGGCAGGAGGATTGCTCAAGGTCAGGAGTTGGAGACCAGCCTGAGCAAGAGCGAGACCCCATCTCTATACACTTAAAAATAAATTAATTAATTAAGTAAAATTAAAAACTCAGCTCAGTTGCACTGGCCACATTTGAAGTATTTGGTACTCACATGGAGCTGGTGTCTCTCATACTCTCAGAACAAAAATAGGGAACATTTCTACCATAGCAGAATTCTCTTGGACAGTGATCTAGCACACAATGAGCGGTAGCTCTGAATGGAGCTGTTTTGGGCATGAGTCTGTGCCCAGCTCTGAGTTAAGTCCTTTCCCTCTCTGTCCACCAATCCTCAAACAGCCCCGTGAGACAGATGTATCTATCATCCCATTTTACAGAGGAGGACACTGAGGCCCAGAGTGGGGAGTCACCTGCCAGAGGATGCGCAGCCAGGACGCAGAGGAGGTTGGCTACAAGCTGGTCCCTTCCTGGGCGCCCCTGCTCCTCTTACTCTCTCCCCAGGATGGAGGCAACGCCAGAACGCAGCACGAGCCCGTCACTCCCCTCTGTACAAAGCCCTTGTCCCCATGAAACTGTATATAAATCATCCTTTTCTACCAGCTCTGGCCAGGCCTGTCTGTGGATGGAATGGGGTGTGAATGGGGGAATTTTGATTTGAATCTTGGTGTTTCAGTTAAGGAAATAGTTCATTCAATACTGTCATCTGGCTGGGCGCGGTGGCTCACGCCTGTAATCCCACCACTTTGGGAGGCGGAGGTGGAAGGATCACTTGAGCTCAGCAGTTAGAGACCTCTGCAATATAGAGAAGACTCCAACATTACAAAAAGAAAAAAATTGTTTTTAATTAGCCAGGCGTGGGGGAAGCGCGCCTGTAGTCCCAGCTACTCAGGAGGCTGACGCAGGAGGATCGCTTAAGCCCAGGAGTTAGAGGTTGCAGTGAGCCATGACCCAGCTACTGCACGCTAGCCCAGGCAAAAACATACTGTCTTCTGAGGCCTCCTGGGGCCCAGGGCTGGTGCTGGGCAATGCTAGAACCCAGATCTGAGTCAGCACCAGCCCGGTCCTCCCAGGTGTCCTAGGCTACTAGGGAGAAGACAAGGGACCCAGCGAGCCTCAGTGCGGGACACCACGCGCTCTCCCGGAGGGGGCGCACAGGCGGTCCGGGAGCCAACCCAGGCTAGGATATCCGAAAGGCTCTCTGGGGAAAAGGACTCTTGAGCCAAAGGGAACCGGGACTGTGACAAGCCAGACTTTGGAGGGGGCAGGGACGCCATCCCATGCACAAGGGACACAGCCTAAGCAAAGTCCAGGAGTCCAGAAAATGAGAGGTTCCTCTGGGGAACACAGCAGATTGATGTGCAACCCAGGCATCTGCAGTCATTCCTTCACCCACTCTTAGATCTCACAGGGAAAATTACCTCCACTTATTTTACAGATGGGGACACTGACGCCCAGATAAGGCCAGGGGTTTGCCGGGGTCACGGTGAGGTCGACCGCACCGGGGAATCCAGACTTCTAAGCCTAAAATTGAGCAGTAAAAGGCGGGGCTCGTTGCCCCCTGCGGGCCACCACATGCCCTGCAGCCTTCTGTCGCTTCGGGGGGTAATGGCGCCTCCCCTCACAAACATGGCGGGAAAAAAATCGCGTGATCGAGATTAACAGCCCCTTAAAAATATGGCCGCCCAGGCGGGACAGCCCCGCCCCAGCAGCCCCGCCTCCACGTCCCACGTGATCTCTCGCCCCTCACTGCCGTGGCCGCCAGGGCCTATCGGAATGGTGTTCGGATTGGACAGTTAGATGTCCCGCCTTCCAGTGGGGCATCTCTGCGCACGCGCACAACATTTCGGCCAATGAAGAGAAAGCCGCCCGTGCAGCCCGTTTCGCGTCACTTCTGCCACCCCTGTTTCAAGGGATAAGAAACCCTGCGCCAAGACCTCCTTCTTTCCCAGGCGGCTGCCGAAGATGGCGGAGGGGCAGGTGTGGGCTCCGCGCGGGCCGGGGCGGCACGGGGCAGGGTGGGATCCAAGCCAGAACCGGGTTGGATACTCTATCTTCTTCAACATGCGTTGTCAAACTTAGAGTCGATAAGTGAACAAAATTGAGATCTTTGGGGGCAAGGGGAATCTGTAGGAAATGGTTAGGTTGTTTTTAGGCAGGCCTAAGGTTCACTAAAACGCGGCATTTTATTCTCGAGGCGAGGGGTAGTTGTAGGAGCTTCCAGCACAGGAAGAGGTGTTAGTGTTAGCACAACTAGACCTCGCTTACCTTGGTCTCTGGTAGTGGGTGCGGGCGCTGGGGTCCGGTCTTGGCCGAATTGGACCATTGTGTGTCCCCAGCGATGGCGAACTCGTGGAAGTCTGGGCGGCTTCGGGGCAATGAGAAACTGAGGATTAGCCAAATGGAAGGTATTTCCATCCTGTCCAATGCGCGGGCTCCTTTAACCTCACGTGGGACTGTTAATCAGGGTTCTCCGCACCTCTGGTTATTTTAATATGAAATCCCTTTCCGCAGGGGGTCGAGAGAGTGCTAAACTACGGACATTCAGGAATGAATTGCCCTTTTCTCATTGTTTCGGGGTTGGCGATTGCCTGGGAAGGGTGTTACGGTTGGCAGCAGGGCTGTGATAAATGGTTCCACAATTATGGGACGTCCTTTAGCCATACGACCACCTGGGGCCCCTTAGAGAACACAGCAAAAGCTGAGTTCCTGGCTCTTGGGGTAACTGCTTATATATGAAGGAGAGGCTGGCTCTGGGAAGGGTTTCCTCGTGAATTCTTTTGTGTGGTTAAGATGGGAAATGAAGTTTTCAAGCAGGGCTGACCTAAGCAAATGGTAGAGTTCACTGAGCATGTGTCCCTGTACCTAGCACAGTTTGGATTGCATTGTTTGGTGTAGTTCAGCTAACTTAGTACTCCTGAGGCAGACCTTGTTTTTTTCATCTTACAAGAAATTGAAATGTGGAAGGAAACTTAGATTTTTTTTTTTCTAGACAGTCTCACTCTAGCCTGGGGTAGAGTGCCGTGGCATCAGCCTAGCTCACAGCAACCTCAAATTCCTGGGCTTAAGCGATCCTCCTGCCTCAGCCTCCCAAGTAGCTGGGACTACAGGCATGCGCCACCATGCCCGGTTAATTTTTTCTATTTATTTTTAGCTGGCCAATTAATTTATTTCTATTTTTAGTAGAGATGGGGTTTCCCTCTTGCTCAGGCTGGTCTCAAACTCCGGAGTTTAAGCGATCCTCCCGCCTTGGCCTCCCAGAGTGCTAGGATTACAGTTACAGATGTGAGCCACCGTTGCCGGCTGAATCGTGGAGTGTTTTGGCAAAGGTCACATTGTCACAAAGTCAGGCTTTGGATTTAGTGTTCTTCTGAATTCCTTTCCAGCACTTACAAAGTATGTACAATAGTTTTTTTGTTTTGTTCTCTTTTTTTTGAGTCAAGAATCTAACTCTCTTGCCTGTGCTAGAGTGTGTCAGCCTAGCTCACAGCAACCTCAAATTCCTAGGCTCAAGTGATCCTCCTGCCTCAGTCTCCCAGGTAGCTGGGACTACAGGCACTGCCACTGTGCCCGGCTAATTTTTTTCTATTAGTTGTTTGGCTAATTTTCTATTTATAGTAGAGACAGGGTCTCGCTCTTGCTCAGGCTGGTCTTGACTCCTGAGCTTAAGCAATCCTTCCACCGCCTTGGTCTCCCAGAGTGCTAGAATTACAGGCATGAGCCACCACGCCCAGCCTACAATAGTTATTAAATGCATTATACTTTGTGACAGCAGGGGCTAAAGTAGGGAGTTGAGGATTGGTGCCTGAGCATTTTACCTGGGGAGGCAGAGTTAGTAGCAGAATCAGCGTGGGATTTTTGCTTTTGCCTAACCTCATTCCACCTGAAACTTGGTTTCCCTTTTTTTTTTTTTTCTTTTTTAACTCCACTGACAGATTATGTGGTGAAACTTGGTTTTCTTAGTTGTGAAATTAGCAGAAGAGAATTAGGTTCTGTTAGGAACCTACAATTTGTATCACAGATTACGGGGTTCTTGTAGCTGGGTGATGTGTGGACAGAGTGTTGCTGGTCTAGGTTCAATCCTAGCTTGTACTTCATTAAATGCAAAATATAATCGCATAAAAATTCATACCCTTCAAGGACCTGAGACAAGAGTCTGGCATCTTATCCCATTCACTCACCTTTTGCTTTCTTGGCCTTGGTTTCCTTTCTATAAAGTGGGCCTTGGCTAACAGTTCCAGGTCTGATAGCTGGGCAGGAAGAACCCTGAGGCTAACCTGCAAGAGGAATGTAGAAAGCAATGATGGCTTGTGGGAAGAGTCAAAGAAAGGCAGTCAATGCCCTCAAACCCTCTCACCTTGTCTCCCCAGGTCCTGGTGCTTGATGGCCGAGGCCATCTCCTGGGCCGCTTGGCGGCCATCGTGGCCAAACAGGTACTGCTGGGTAAGTCTCTGCCCACAGTTCCCGTAGTTAGCTCCACCCGGGAGGTCAGTGATGAGCAACAATCACCATCTTTCGTTTGAGTCTCACGACCATGAGATCAACCCCATGCACCGCTCTGAGACCTACCAGCCTCTCCCTTTCCCACGGGTGGAGACTCCTGGCTGAAGTGACTTTCTGTTAGGCTGGCTTTTAATTTCAACACGAATCCAGCTCTGCCAGGTACTGCTCTGGGACCTGGAGCGAGAGGCCCTTCTCGGGGCTTTAGCTCTTCTACATTGTGGTTAGTGGTGTCCCAGGGAGGGATGTGGCCCTCTATGTCCAGACAGTGACTGGACAGGTGAGTTGTGCCAGGAGAAGGTAGCATGTTCAGGTGGCATTGTCTGTATACCCTTGCCCTCTTTGAATGCCTCATTTTCCCTCTAGGCCGGAAGGTGGTGGTTGTGCGCTGTGAGGGCATCAATATTTCTGGCAATTTCTATAGAAACAAGCGTAAGTTGGGGCCTGGGAGGAGGTCTCCGTGTGGGGTGCTGAGGCTGGTGGGGTCCCCAAAAGCAATTGTGGCAGTGGTGGGAGGGGCTAGTTTTGAGTTCCTGAAAAGGCCCTGGAGCTTTGTGGCAGGGGGAGGGGGTTGGGATTCTGGGGACCAGTGGGTCTGGCAGAATAGGCGGGTCTCATGCGTGCGCTCCTCCTGCTCTCCCCTCAGTAAAGTACCTGGCCTTCCTCCGCAAACGGATGAACACCAACCCTTCCCGGGGGCCCTACCATTTCCGGGCCCCCAGCCGCATTTTCTGGCGGACTGTGCGAGGTGAGCTGGGCCTGAGGGCTGCATGTGGTGGTGACAGGCGGGTGGCCAGTGATGAGGACTTCTCCCACTCATGTTCGAGTTTCCCTACCATGAGACAACTCTACATGCACTACCATCTGAGGCCACCACCTGCCTGCCCTGGTGGGGGAGGGTAGGTGTCCCCTTGAGCCCCACTGAGCAGGCCTGCCATCCCCCTTCCCTGCAGGCATGCTGCCCCACAAGACTAAGCGAGGCCAGGCTGCCCTGGACCGCCTCAAGGTGTTTGATGGGATCCCACCACCCTATGACAAGGTGAGCTGCACCAAGCCCCCAGCACAGCGTCCACGCAGCCGGCGTCCATGATGTTCTGCGATTACCTACATTGTTTGATCCTCGTGAAAACAGCACTGGCTGAGACGCCTGCGCCTGCCCAGCTAGGCTCCTTCCCGTCTGTCTCTCTCGCCTGGTTTCTGAGCCCCTCCCTTTCTCCGACAGAAAAAGCGGATGGTGGTTCCTGCTGCCCTCAAGGTTGTGCGTCTGAAGCCTACAAGAAAGGTGAGTGCCAAGTTACACTGAGTGGTCTAGCTTAGGGACTTCAGGCCTGCTGGGGGGTAA